TATAAGACACAGTTAGCGTCTTATAACGAACGCAATGTTGAAACTCTATTTGCCTTAGAACTTTCAAGACAGTGTATTAGGCGTCTTACTAATTGACAAGTAATTTAATCCTTGGTTATGTTGGTGCCAAATAACAAAATACAATAACTACTATAACATAAACAACACTGTAACTAAGTGTGAAATACTTGACAACTTTGACAATACATTCCTCAATGCGGTTTCTTATATCACACTTTCCAGGCAAAGCAAAAAAAAAAACGAAATAAAGAAAATAATGCTAATTCCGGTTTATTCAAGTGCCCTCCAATAAATTGTACGTTCTTTCACTACTAAGTATGTAGTGCATACATAAATACATACATACTTGCATGTTTTGTGCGCAACAAGCAGAGCTGTCTGAAGCGGCATGCGGTGCAAAAATCGCAGTGTTGCTGTCAAAATATCAGCGCATATCGAACTTCGACCAACAATGGTCGTCGAAATACTATACAGACATTTCCACCGACAAGCGCACGAATTTCAACACACACACAAACCCACAACATATCCCAGTGGGAAAAGTAGTAATGCATTACATGCGTGATTTTTTATAAGTTCTAGATTCCATTACTGTTTAATATTCTAATGTATTCTAAAAAGTCTCCAAAAAATCATATTAAATCACATTCATTCCTCGATACTGGGTAGTGCAAAATTGAATGCCTCACTTTTCGTAGGACATCACCGTGAGAAAAAAATGCATTTTCGAATGTGAAAACGGCTGTTTTACTGATTAGTTTTTCGATTACTATACATTACATTTTCCCACTGGGATAGTACACGTGCTGAGCAAAACTCATGAACATCATTGAATAGCTGTAAATATGTATGTATGTATGCACTACAGAAGTGGCAACTTCAATGCACAACACAACAAGACACGCGCACTCGAACAAACAAGTCAGAAGGCAAAAGTTTTTATGTTTGCTGTATTGCCTACGAAGCAAAGTTGAGAAAAATTTTTGTTGACAAGCATTTAATTTGTTTACGATACACAAATGTCATTGACACATAAAATTTTATTTCGGTCGATTCTTCTTCTAGTACTTTGTATTTAGTTTACTACCATTTGGCTCCTCGAAACACCTTTCTATATTTATTTTAGACTATTCGACCACTCTGGGCACCACACCTTTATTTATTGTTAATGGTGTCAATCTCGCGATAAAAGTAACAAACGGTATATATGTATGTATTTATGTAACAATCAAACGTCTGCAACACTAACACAAACAAGGCAAATGTCACCATTTGCAATTTGTCACAATAGAATTGTCGCTTCGACGACTCGTCGAGTTTTTTACTGTTTCCGATAATTGGCAAAACTTTTACTGTGAGTTTTCAGTGTTTATGACACAACAAAAATGCACTCGGACACTTCTTTTTTCTCATACATCGTACTTATTTATGTTGGTAGAAGTGTCCAAAAAGAGTAGCCAATTTTGTTTATTTACAATATTAGCTGAGCAAACTTTTTCGTACACCCCAAATGCACTTACATACATATGTGTATGGCTTTGTGTGAGTGAATATGTAAACATACATATGTAGCCGCTCGTAAACATCTAATTTGATATATGTACATACTAGCTTATAACCGCGAGTTTCACCCCACGTTTTTATAAAAATATGAAAAATAATTTAATGATGTTATATTTTATTTCTGTGCCCATTTTGTTAAAGCTGTATATTTTTTAAGCGAGTTAAGGTATTTAGACCGTTTAAAACTATGAAATTATAAAATCTCGTCTGCACGCTAGGCATACGAAAGATATCAATCCCACCATCTGTCAGTACGGTACTTACATATATAAAATAAATCTCCATAACAAATAATAATAAAACACTTCCAGAAATTTTCTATCCTTCCAGTGTATGATTACTTCAACGGCATGCTGACGCTGACATAGTTAGAAAATGAATGAAAATTGCAAAAATTGTAGAACCTATGTGCATACATACATACGTAGTACTTCGCAGGGCGTGGAAATAGTTAGTGCGGTAAGAACAATGTCGCCTAATACTGCTAATGCTTAGTGCCAACGGCTTTGCCATCCACCAGAGAGCGATATTATCAGCGTAACTTCATTACCGAAGTTTAAAACACCAATACGAGTACACTCGCCATTACATTTCCATGGCGGCGGTTTAGGCCATGTTGCTTTCAGTAATGTCCATCCATTACTTTAGCGAGGTAAATTGTGTACATATTTTTTTTCTCTCTTGTGTTTTGTTTTTTGCTAACCGGCGCTAATTTAATTTTTTTTTTAGCAGCACTGCGTTAGTTGCGTTTTTCTATGTTTACTGTAGAGGTTTTTTGTATCAATTTATTTTTTTTTTGTGTTGTTTTAAAATGAAAGTTTAATTCTGTTAAACTTTTCTCATTAAAACGTGCGAAACACTGTTGGTTAACGGTGAAAAAGTGAATGAGTGCAAAAACATTGTGTCAGTCTTAGGGCGTTGTACTCGTACATAAAAGCGTGCTTTAGGGCAAGCGGGTAACAAATAGAGTAAAATTGTAGGTGAGTAACTGTTATACATTTTTGTATACATCCGTGAATAAGGTGAGTTTAAGTAGTAACTATTTCTTGATTTAAGTAATTAACATTAACTGATGATCGGCTGTTTTAATTGAAAGACCAAACAAAGCATAAAATATATCGACGGTTAATATTCAAACACTCTATCTGTAATCTGTAGAAAAATTAATTTACGTTGTTAAAATCAACCTTGGACTTAACTGTCATCGAGTATATTAAGGTGATCCTTAGTTATCACTTTCTATTAAAATTTTCTACTGCATTTAAAAGTTTGAAATAGTTTCAGAGTAGAGATCTAAGTCACAGACAGATGAGTTTTTATGAAAAAAAAAGATAGCCGGTATTGAATCTAAGCCCTGGATGCAGGAAGCAATAATGGGCGGAAAGGGTTGCTTTGCGCTAATTTTGCTAGTTAAGCCACTGCCAAAGGAAATTTCTTCTCTTAATTCTTTATGTTAAATAATCAGATAATATATGAGAAAATTCAAAGAGGAAACATTTTTCAGTTATCCTTAATAATTCCAATGTAAATACCGTTATCTTAATATGAATAGAAAGACCATATCTAACATCTTTATTTCTCTACAGGACTGAAATGGTATTGAATTATGTATGGCTGGAGTTTCCAAGAACCTAAACAATACTGTCCTTTGTACCCACGGTCTAGAGGGAGGATTTAAAGAAAAGGGAACGATAGGTGGTGCGGGAATTCATTACTACTTTGCAAACTTACCAGACTACTTTTATGAACCTAAGCAGAATGTCGAGGCTAAGACAAGTCAGCTCGTCGATATGTATATGCTACCCAAAATGTACCATCTCAATGTGACGAAAGCCAGATAGCTGCATAGCAAATGATCTGTATTAGATTTCCTCAACTTCTAAATATATTGTACACAGTGGGTCGTGGATGATGTTTATGATAACTGATTTTGCTCCGTAATCACACTTATCAGGGTTCGAAGCTCAATCTTTCTCCAACCAACCAACGGCTCTCATGAGCTATATTAATGAGATCCTTGATGTATCCCACTGTTCCCGCTATGCTTGCCTTAAAATTGGCCCGTTCCACAAGTTTAAGCATATTCCACTTTGCAACGGAGTGAAATCTCAACATACATCCCGGGATCCCGGGATTAACAGTCCTGGTATGTACATACGTTCCTGGACTATTTTTAAAAGGTGCGAGCGGTTTCTATGATCTTTAGAGTAGCTTAGCTACTACTGCATACCCCCCAGGATTCTTCTATACCAAAAAAATATATGCCTCCATTTTTTATATTGAAATCGAAAAATACTTAGAGGTTGCTCAAAGCGCTCAAAGTTTTCCATGCATTTTATGTGGGCACAAAACAACTTTTCGTAGAAATTAAAAATCAATATTTTTCGATCCGCAGGAGCAGAGATAATAATACCCAATTTTTTATTTAACCATTTTGTCATAGCAACTATAATTTATAGGTCCGTCAAAAATCCTTAAAAACCCCGAAAAATGCAATGGGGGACCAATAAAAAATCGTTAATACATATTGAAAGTCTACCGAAGAGAACCTGAGTTTTCCGATCGAAAAATATTAATTTTCAGTGATTCTATACTATTTCAACGAAAAGTTGTTTTTTTTTTTTAAGAAAAGGTGTTACCTCACAGGTGGTCCCATACTAATTTGGTTTAAACCCGATCATTGGATCATGAAGAAATTAACGATAATCTTAAATTTGTATATAAGAATTGAAGCCGGTTTTGTTTTTTGCTTAAAAATTATTTGCTTAAACAAAAGACTCTTCTCAAAGGCAAATTCGAAACTCGAAAATTCGAAGAAAACTGCTTGTTGTACACTAATAATTCTTATTTACTCAAACATTTTAGCAGCCGTTTAAAGCAATTCCAATTAATATTAAATTTCTATAAAATATCTAATAAACTCTTCACGCTTCTCAATAAACGTGTACTCACATATAATTGACCTTCCACCCAATCCACTTTTTGCAAAAAGCATACATATGTATGTATGAATGTGTGCATGAGCAAAAAATATACATATATACATATGTATGTATGTAGACATGTACACGACCGCCAGGTACTTACAGTTCAAGTGCCCAATCAAGGAATTTATGCAGGCCATTTTCCAGTGGTTTCGTCTGGAACCAATTCGTATGGACTGGCATCATGTAGGGTGCCTTGTTCTGTTCATAGTAACGTGTGAAGTCCTCTTGCAGCCAAGCGAATATCTCTTCCTCGTCCAAATTGTGTAGCACACATTGATCCAGATAGGGACAGTGACCGCCTTCATAACCTTCGACATAGTGAGTGTTGAGTGGCACCTCCCAAACGCCAGGGAAGCTCTTCGACGGACACGTGCCGCTCTTACATTCATGTGAGATTTTAAAGTCGAGCGTGTATGGCCAGATGGGTACATTGACTGGTGGCACGGTAATCGAACTGTCATAGATGTAACCGAAGTCTTCGATAACCTGTGTAGACAGCATGGCGCAGCACCAAATGTATGTATGCGCGTGTGTATGCACATATTGATGTACGTTCGACCATAGTTTGTGGTAATGTCATGAAAATAAAAAACAAAAAAATTGAAGATAAATTCAAAAGGGTTAATAGAATTCAATATAGGGACATATACATACATACATATAAATACGTACAAATAGTATACAAATACATATTACATATGTATGTACATAGTCTGATGCTGTGTTCAAAGTTTTAATGCATTGCATATAATAACAATAAAAATGTTAAACGTGGGTGTAAATGCTGTAGAAGACAAGCATAGAAAACTTGAAACAAGAATAAATGTGACCATGAACATGAAAATGGCTTTGCTGCTCTTGTGTTTGTACGCACGCTGGTGTGGTTTGACAGCAGTTTGGTTGCTGTTATGGTTATTTTTATTGTTGTTGTTGCCAGTTTAATGGTCCTGTTTACAGGTAATTGGTTGTAATGCTCGAAGCTGCTCATGTGCAACAATTTCAAGTACACAGGCACAGATTTTACCACTCAACAACACTAAAGTACCCTCCCCTAATGGTGGTGTGTTGTGTGTACGGTAGTTTATTTATTTAATTTTTTTGCTTGTTGAATTTTGTATGCAGCAGTAGTGCATACAGAGTGCATATTTGCAATGCAGCGAGCTGGAAAGTTGATTGCAATCATTGCATATGGAACTTAATTCAATTAAAGGCATTTGACGCAAATGCACAATAATCAGCAACTAAGAGCTTGCAATTTTATGCAGTTGCATAAGAATGTTACGCTTTCCCCGTTTGAGGAGGTACACGTCTCTAAATTAATGCCATGATTTTCAGTTATATTCTCCTGGTTTTATACCAATGCGTTCGATATGTCAGTAGCAATTATTTAAGAACTTTGACGTTGTCACACTAATAGAGGAACCTTCAATTTTATGCCATAGGAAGGATTATCGCTCATAATAGAAAACTTATTTAGATGTTGGTTGCACCAGGAATCGAACCTGGCTGCTCTCGGTAACCACTAGGCCATAGCCGCCGCTATAGATAGATAAGTTTATGATCCAAATATTTAAAAAAGATACTCCAAGTACAGGTAGGTTCGAATATTTCGGCTGCCCTCATCGTATTTACATATTAGAATTTACTTGTACTAAGTTTAGACAGGCAATAGAGCTCCATTTTCCATACAAAATTAAAATTTTAAGTATCCGATTAGTGCTTCATTGAGTGCTAATTGATTTAATTTTTTCATGCAACCCTGTTGGGTATGGTTAGTTTTGACTGTGAGGTGTGTTTATTGCACAGTGTATCTGGTCCACTTTCACAGCTCAAATTTCATCAGAGATGAAAAATTTAATATTCAAATTGTGCCAATTTTTCCAAAAACCCTTACCTTTTAGGTAAAAAAAACAAATATATGTGCATTAGGGCGGGTCAATTTGCATGGGAGATTTTTCCCACTATGCGGGTATAGCACAAAAGGATTCTACATGGAATTCCAAGTAAACTTGCCGAAGAAACCATGGATCTAAAATCAATTTGAAGTTCTTAGCCCGATCAAAGAGAAAGTATGGAAGACGGCTGAAAAGAGCGGGGCCAATCGACCTATTTGTGATATATGTTCATTGTAACTGTAAATAGTCAATGTAAATGCGTTTTAAATATTGTATGTGCCTACTAAAACAAAAGGAGAACAAATATGTATTAAATGTGAGTAGCTAACTCAACACTTTCCTAGCGCTGGCTAAATTGTATTTTTTGTGTGTAAATTTCCTAACAAATTGTATAATAGTATAGTTGGTGTCCTAACATATGGACAGGTGTATAAATGAAGACGGAACTTAATAATAAAAAAAATATATATGTATATATAAAACAACAATTACCCTCCTGATTCGCCCAGCCTAAAAATTAGCGAATGTATGATTATATATTGAGCGTTGGTGTATGTTGATGTTATGATTTAAAACAACAGACTTGATGGCATGATATAATTTTCCTTTTCGTTTTTTTTCAAATTCCTGTGTAAAATTAGTTGTTGAAAAGTGATTGCTGAAAAGTGCCACCCGAGCACTTAAAAATCCATTTGATGCTATTCTCCGATGTATGTATGTAACATTTATTTTCTGCTTCCGCACGAAATACATACATATTTAAATACATGGGTAGAGTACGGCTACCTCCAAAGGGGATACTACGAATATCAGTTATGCCTGGTTATATGTACTGCAGTATGTAGGCAAATATAGGCGCATACACTTTTACTGCCACCAGCGCTAACAGCTAGCTTAAATTTTTTAAAATCCCTGTCATTTCAAAGAATGTGTTACGGACAATTCAATGTACATATTTGCAGAGCACTCTATCTACCAACATAATTTTCTAGCGAAAATATTAGCAAACAGAAATGAGACGCATAAGGCAAATTGAATTGCATACAGGGAATTGAATAACAAAGAAAAAGTGTTTGATGGTTATAAACTTTTAAAGTTTATACATAGACAACTAGTTGAAATAATTGCCGTTTCTGTTAGCAAATTCGGTGAGCATTTTTAGCTATGCATGCATGTATGCACATATGAATTTTGTAGTTTTGCAAAGTTTTTGTGTACGTCTATAGCGTAACATAAAATTTTCTTTACTTGAAAGAAAACACATGCCAGCTTCTATCTGTGCGTACATATTCAGTCAAGCGATGTCCATTCATGATCTGAGTAATTAATTTATTTATGCATACGATACAATTTAACCTCATAATCCCTCGAAATACATATTACTTACAATTTATGCAAATGTTGTATAAAAAATCGGCTTACTGCCTGTGGTAATTGTCTAAAACATCACAACAAAATAAAACTGTCAATTAACTCCTTGTACTATTTATGCCGAATTACCTATCAGGCATCTGAAAATTCAAAATATTGCTAGAGGACACGTAACTGCCAACTGCATTGCACAAAATCAGGTAATATTTACAAGTATGTACATACCCACAATATGTATGTATGTATGGGCAGCGCATACACCCGCCCCCTCCCACAATTGCTCACCTTGTATTGCGTATTGCGTCCGGGTTTTAAGAATGGCGCACGCATACCCACCACATCGTTGACGGACACATTGGCGAATTTTTTGAGTATTTCACGCATGCCAATCATTTCGCCAACCCATTCCTCGTAGCCTTTATCTTGCAGTCCTTGTTGTTGGGAAATGCTTTCCGTAGCGAACTCGTGTCCAGCATAGCCGAGATGTTGAATTTGTTGATAGTTGCTGAATGAAGAGAGAAAAAGTGAAAATTTTCATTTCCATTTAAATTTTAATTTAACTGAAATCAAATCGGAAGAAGTTAAGTAATAAAATAAAGCTTGGATTATAGAGTAATTTAGCAAAAATATATTAAGAGAGATGATATTGATGTGCAAGATTTTCAAAAAAAAAAAACAAAAAAAGTATATATCTATATAATTTATACGTAGAAAAAGCTGTATTGGTTGCCGATAATTGAGCTTTGTTTCATTGAATTGTTTATTTTAACGAAGTTAAATCGTTTGTAAAGGCCCACATTAGATTGGATAGGTTTAAAATTGAGAAATTATCTTTCACATTTTCAAAAAGAAAAAAAAACAAGCAAAAGTACAAAAATTGGTGACATGCCTTAACAGGAGGCAGTGTGGATGCGGATAATCCTAATCATTAAGGCCTTACGAATCGAGGCTGCCGATAAATTCGGGCTGTACGAAGACCTCAAGCAGGAAATTAATTTCATGCTGAACTATAATTGGCAGCCGAGTCAAGCCTCAGGCCACTTATCATAAACAATTCGCCAATTGCCATCCAAGTGACATGCCTGAAATATCTAAAATGAGAGGGGAAGCATGACCTCAAAAGTTAAAACGCTTAAAATGTTAAAACATACTATTGGATCTGACATAATGTGAAACATGAAAATAGAAATATGTTGACATCTTTGCAAATGTTAGCATTAAGTGCACATAAATTTATGGGGCAATCCAGCTAAATTCGGATGGCATTTGTCATTTGCAACTCAGATTTATTTAAAATTTTTATTTTTTTTGTTAGTCAAATCCAATGAAGAAAGGCCTCTCTGTTTTTAAAATTTTTTTGTTCAGCCGTTTTTGATATAACGATTTTTGAAAAAAATCCTTTTTAAATGCCCATGACCTTGCGAAAAATAGGCCTATTGGGCTAATCGTGTTTTTTGCAATTTTTCATTTTGAAATCACTTTTGCAATATAAAATCGAAAGAAATTTCAAAACCGTAATTCCGTTAGGTTTCCGTAAAAGTTTAAAATTTGTGATAAATATAATATGTGGATTTTCAAAAAACACATTCTAATCGATTTTACTTAAAATTTTTTCTAAAAAACTGCCACTCATTCCACAACTTTTAAGCTGAGTTTTTTAATGGATTGATGAAAAACTAACAAATTTTATCCAACTCAGCGCCAAGAACTTTGACTGTGTCAAATCAGATGATTAAAAAAAAAAAGATCAAAATAGCAGATTGCATAGGATGAAATTATCTAAGTACGCTACGACTAATCATTTCCGCGTAAAAAAATTCAACGTTTTCTTTATAGTTTAATCTAACACTCGAAAATGGCGTATGAGTAACTTTATTTTATTACAACGCTTTTATCAACTTGCAATGTTGTGGCTCCAGAAACTTTCAATGTTGTGTGTCCGACACCATAAAACCTTTGCTTTGAAAAGTTCCTATAAAAAAGCATAGTGCATAGGGCGACATCTGTAGTGAATAGGGCGAGGTAGATGACATCTAGATGTCGCCCTATGTACTACGTTCGCTACAGCGGAAATAGACGACACGCCATTTCTTTAAATAAAATTAATTGGTGCTCGTTTGTATGTACATACATATGTAAATGCATATGTGTGCACCTTTCTATTAAGATCGTTGAATTATTTTAATATCTATCGCAAAATTTTATACAGACACCCAAAAAAGTAGAAAAGAAATAATATAAAAAAAACTTTTTAATATACAACGCTTTTATAAATGGACTAAAAAGTAGAAAATAATATTTCTCAGTCCCATAGAATTTGTTTTGATAACTTTTGATTTTGAAATTTTAGCAAAAGTCGTTATAACCAATTTATGAGATTGAAAATGAAAAGCGTGGGGGGCATGCAATACAAAGCATTATATTTAATTGACAATAGGCAAACTACATAACATAGACCTAAAATTTCTTCAGCGAAAGTACAAATTTGAGATCGATTTTAAGCGGTCGTTATTCATATATCCACATACATATGAACATATATTACCCTTCATATCAATTCAGGTGGCTATTATATGCGCCCCACGCTTTTCATTTTCAATCTCATAAGTTGTTTATAACGACTTTTGCTAAAATTTCAAAATCAAAAGTTATCAAAACAAATTCTATGGGACTGAGAAATATTATTTTCTACTTTTTAGTCCATTTATAAAAGCGTTGTATATTAAAAAGGTTTTTTTTTATATTATTTATTTTCTGCTTATATTTCAAACAAAAAATATTGTTGAATTTACCAATCGATTACGCGAAAGTGATAAGTCGCGGCGTAGTGCTTCTCACTGCAGATTAGTAGAGAATTTCTTACTCTTCAATGAACCATTACCATTTTCATTAACGCATTTGATTTGACACAGTCAGTTATGAGAAAAGTGGTCCTAAACGGCACAATTTCTGCAAAGTTATTGGATTTCATAAAACAGGATTCTTTTTTCTTTTTTCAAAAATCAATTTCTCGAAAACGGCTTTACAAAACAAAAAAATGAAAACAAGATCAGAGAGTTATCTCTCAATTTGTGCTATGAGGGTTGCTATTTATATTTCTGGCCTTAACCACTTCTAGTGTTGTTAGGCGCCTTTGGAAAGTTTGATATATTTTACCATAAATGCGCTGAGAAAGTTTTGATGTGTGAGCTATATTAGTGTTGTTTACAGTGGCGTTAAAAATTCATCTCGCAAAAAAAAAATTGCACTAAGCAGTGAACATTTTCGTACGATTATTTTTCACAATTTTCGATGTGGATTACCAAGACAAGGTGTACTATAAGAACCACCATCCTTTAGTACCCTAAAAAACTGTTATTGTAGCAGACAATATGCGCACCGTGAGACTGAGCCATCCTTGGGTATTAGTACGACGAACATCAATAAGATTTTGCATGATCACCTTGTGGAAAAGAATGTGTGTTCGCGTTGAATCCCACAAAATTAAAATAAAAAAATAAAAAAACGCCCAAAAAGAGGCTCGTATCGAGTGCTTCGAAAATTGTTTCAAACGAATTCGAAATAGTACTGATCACCATGAAGCATATTTCGAAAAACAATAAAACTGATGCCAACCACCAATGTTCATTTTCCCATTGTTAAACCAGGAATATAAATAGCAACCCTTGTATAGCATAAAAAATTATGTGATTTTGTTATTTATTGGAATAATAAAGAATCAAATTCAATAATTTCCTCAGCAATTTTTTCCTTAAAAATGGCTTCAAAATTGCTGAATATGAAAAATTATGAAACGAGTCGGAGATGCAAAAACCGAATGGTGCCAGATTTGGGTTGTAATGCCCCATATGTATGTACATTTGCAAATGCATACATACCATCAATATATAAATGTATATGATCAACATGTTCAGCAATAAAATTTCAATGATAACAAAATCCCTCATCTCAATTTGCATAGAAAAACTTTCACTCACACACACAAGTATAACTATCCATATTAATTCTTATTATTTAAAACTTAAAACCACAATACAAATATTTTGGGCAAACCCAAAAGCTTGCCGTGAGAACAATGCTGACTGCATTTTATGCAAACAATGTGAACAACAATACCTGCATGCGTAGAATATTATAATACATATGTATGTTCGTATGTAAATATAGACATGTACATATGTATACATATATGTATGTATGTAAGTGCACATATTTGACTACCCAGTTGGCAAACTAAGAGAGAAGTAGGCTTATTTTCGTTGTTGGTGTTTCCGACAGGCCTTCTAGGTGTTTCGAATTGGCCTTATAGGAGCGCTCATTTTGGATCTTTTGGGGCTGAGGCGAGAGGCCTTCCATACTCCATTCTGTATTGGACTGGATTAGCCTGGAGTTTCAAGGTTATCCAATTCAGCTGCTCTTAGATAAAGAAACTTTATATAAAATAGTAATAACAAGTTTAAATTTAACTTTAGAGCAGACGTTCACCGACACATCTTCTGTGATTTTTTCCTTTATTTGCCTTGGAAACTCACCTTGTTCTCTGACTTCGAATGGCAAGGTTATTTTAAGTTTTTATAGTACCGTTTTCAAAGAGAAGACCTTCTTAAAATTTTATTTACACCCGCTCCTCTATTTGCCGGCTAGGTGGCTTTAAAAACTAACAAAAAAATAAAAACAAATATGTATAAGAAAAAAGGACAAACAAAATGTCGCCAATGTATTGACATGCCTGCTCCCAAACGAATGCCAAACTTGTGTACTTGCGGAAGTTGCAGCAATCAAATAATAACAAATCATAAATGTATACAAAGGGAAGTACAATACATACATATTTTGGTTGACCGGAAAACACAAATGTAAGAAAATAATAGACATTAATCGGAAGCTCTTTGTGTTGTTTTGTTTTATTTTTGGAAAATAAACAAAGAAATTTTGTGTAATTTTACTAATTCTTTTTGTATGCATTCAATTAGATATTCAGGTATGTGTGAGTATCTATACAAACATACATATACATATGAATATACTTACCATTGTATGCAATTTTTGAAACAAAGATAAAAAATGGAGGCATTTTCGTTGCAATTTATAAGAAGGCATCCAGCTTCACAGACATCAGGGAATTTTCAAAGAAAGCTTCTTTAATAGGAGCTTTTTGATGTTTTTAAGTATGGTTATAAAAATGAACTTAAACCGACTCACGGCAGATTCTCACTGAGTCTTCTACGATACCATCACTGCTATAGACCCAGGGTATGAAAGAAACGCTGAAAGTTATGATATACAGTGACGAACAAAAGTATTGGCACAGTGAATTTTTCGCCATATATGCAATGTTTTTTATTCTAATTTATTTTCGATAATTTTTTACAAAAATATAGTTCATTTTACACCAGAAAACGTAATAGATTTTTAAAAAAAATTCAAAGTATGCAGTTTTATAGCCCATTCAAATTTAGTATAACAAAGTGTAAGTTTAAAGTTGCTAGAAAATCGCGTTGATTT